GGCAGTGGTTAGGGGGTGTAGTTCTAGGCTAGGAAAGAGAAAAGAAACTACAGGTGGAACAACTGAGTAGCAGTGGCAGCTATGGCAAACTTACCAAATACTATGGTTTAGACATAGAGCAGTACTTTTCAAACTGTTAAGTTGAGAACTATTAGTGGGTTATAAAATCAGTTTAGTAAGTTACAACTATCATATTTAAAACAGAACAGAAAACATCAGTATGCGTCATGTGTAGTTAGAACATTAATTTATAAAAACTGGTTTCATGTGTATACACACGCACGCAGACACACATGTAAATGTACCAGGTCACAGTGTAAAATATATCCGTTTTAAGATTTTTAAAAAAAGTTCGAGGTCTTCTGATTTAGAGACAGATTAAGTACCTTTGTCCACCTTTTTACAGTCTCTTCAAAATGATAATGTAATTTCCCCTGATTTGGGAGAGTCAAAAAAGTAGTATTAATAAGCTAAAATGAATTGTAAATTTCCTTTTGGCGATGCAGAAAAATACCAAGCTAATCTAAAAATTTCTCTAAGTTATTTTAACTTAATTCACACGTAAGGGTTACATATCGAATAATATTAAGTTTCAGATCATCTTTCTAGGAAAACTCTAAGAAGAAACTGGCTAAATTTGAATATCTGGGAGTACTTCAGAATCCCTGGAATTTTCCAACTTTAGGAACCCGCCTGAATCAGAAATATCCCCCCCCCCCCCCCCCCCATGCACTCACACGCGTGTTAGTGGCTGCAGTTACCCTGAAGGTGCCCATCCAAACCTACAATTCCAGGAGGGTTTTGGGCCCTCCTTAGGATCCTGTGGTATTAACTTGAGGCCTCTTCAAAATGATGCTGCCTTAGCTACTCGTAACATACTTCAAGCTATTTTGGTCTTCAGTTATTTTCATTTCAATGAGAAAATTGAGTAGGCTATTTGATGATTCATTCGTTTTCAACATCCATGGCCTGAAACCAATCAGGTTTTTCTCATCTTCAGAGCTTGTGCTAGTGTCCATCTATCTAAAAGGCTGTCTTTTCTAACCCTTCATTTTTGTGTATATTCCCTGGCTTACAGATACAGACAGTTTCTAAACTCACAACTGGTTTCACCTGAATTGAGAAAAATGCTGTGATTCTATCTACATGATGTCAGATTAGAATCGTGAGTAAAATTTCCATTTTTTTTTCAGCTAGGCTTGCTGTTTTATAGAAATAGTCTGAGATATTTGAGTAGGGTTATACTTATGTGAAAACTGATCTGTCTGGTTTTAACAAAGTTAAAATGGCATTTTGAATGGCAAAACAATCTGTTTTCTAGCCTTGTTCATTCAGAGGATCAGAGGGAGTGTGGCTCTGTCAATATGCAAAAATAAATGTATGGAAATAACTGTTCATTCATTTTATATTGCTTCAATGATCAATAAAGATCACCACTTGATTGATACAACTGTAGTGATCAGAATTAATCAGAATTAATGGCTGAAATTAATGGATTGACAATGCTATGATGAGAGTTTGCTGCTACCTAAAGCTTCTCATAATCATTCAAAGAACACCTTGTTTATTGTTTTTGCTTTATTATTATTTGTTGCCCATTTTACTGTTCAGAGTGGACATGTATTTTATAAATGACAATAAGCCCATTAGTGTGGTACATATAATGTAAAAGTCTCTGGTTGCATTTGTAATGACAATCAATTTCCCTCTCTAATTACATTAATTGTAGCATTACATACCTTTGTAATTTGCACAGGATTGTGCTCAATTAGATTCATTTTGTATTTCAATAAAGCATTTTGCCACTGTCATAAATCTCTAGAACACTACGTTGTGGAAATAGTGGCAACTGAAGATTGATCTGCAGTGTTGGAATTCATTGGGAAATCATGTCTTGTTATTGATTACTAAAAGAGTCATTAATTTATGGAAGCTGATTGGAGATTTTGGCAAGTTTAGAACTTATTTTAAAATCATTCTCAGTCCTAGCTACAGGTTTTCTCAGAGAAAGGGAATCCGAATGGGAAGGAGGAGGGAGGGAGGGATAGGGCAAGGGAGATGGGGACTGTGACAGAGTGAAAGAGAGAATATAAATTTAAAAAAAATTAATTGTAAAATGTTTCTATGTTGCATTTTGTTAAACAGAATAAGGTGAAGGGCATGTGTGTGGTTATATCAAGGTCAGTAGCAACCTATTATCGGAACATAATCAGATTGAGTAATTGGTTTCTGAGAGTAATCTTTATTCTCTCAGAAATGTAACTGACAGAAAATACCTAGCTATTCAGTCTAAAAGCAGATGGCTCACCATAAGAATTCAAGTAGCAGGTGAAAAACAGCCCAGAGTAAGTTCCTTCCTTGCTTTCAAAATGGAAATATTCTAAAGGTAGAATCCTGTTTTCAGACACTAATTAAAATGGTATAAAAAAGAATCTAAAAAACTCATTTGTGAAAGGGAGGAAAGCTTCACACCTTGAAATCTCATCATTTGTCATTTAGTTTATGATACAGTGTTTGATTTTGGTCGTGTAGAAATGTAATGGAGGTTTTTATTTAGTTCTAGGTTTCAAATACATGTTTTATTTACCTTCTCTTCATTTAGGGCTTTGAAGTACCTGTGACTAATTATGTAAGTTGACAGATTGGATTTAAATAACCGTCTCTTCTTCTTCTTCTTCTTCTTCTTTTTTTAAACCTCCTCAATTTTAAATTCTGAAAATGTGTTTGGAATAGTATAGGTTATATAATGACAGTTTCTGAGCTTTTACCCGCGGGTGGAAGTTTGGAACACCAGCAATGCAGCACGGCTGATAAAGAAAGAAACCTAGTATTATTGTTGCTAGATTTTTATTTCTATGGTAACCATGATGTCACTGGTGCCTGCAATGCTTAAACCTTCCATCTCTAATAACTTGAGCTGATTTGGTAGGACAGAAATGTACAACGAAAAAATCCTAATTAATAGAATGTAATCAACAGATGCAATGATATAGATAATGTTTGTGAATGTAAAAGGCTGAATCATGGCTGGAATCAAAGAAAAATGAAGCATAAGGTTTATATTGTTAAGAGGAAAGGCATGCTTTTTAAATATATAAGGATAATAACAAGAGTGTACAGTAAATTAAAAATATGGTAGAAAAGGAAGCTAGGTATATGCTATAGTCATTATTATTTATAACTAGAGAAGACAGACTGACTGGGGAAAATATGCTTTGGGAATTAATGTTTAATTCCTGTTAAGAAATACAGAGAATAAGTGACTTGTATATAACAGGAATATTGCTAAGAAGGATATTAGTGATCTTTTAATCATATTGCAGGTGATTGTTTGCTATTTACACTTTTTTTCCTAAACTCCCTTCATTCTCTTCTCAGTGAAGGATAAGTATCTATTTGCTTGTTGAGCTCTAATCTACCCTTTCAGGGAGAAGGGACCTTCTTAATTGCATGGGCTTGGGAAAAGAAAACATATTCCATGCCCATATTTTAAGGGAGAAAAAATATTGTAGGTACTAATAACAGCCAGAAACGTCCCAGAGCATTTATGAGGGAGAGTGCGGAATGACTAGGAGTGGGGCTTGAACTCCATTCTGCAGTGGTTCTCAACCTTCTGGCCCTTTAAGTACAGTTCCTCATGTTGTGACCCAACCATAAAATTATTTTCGTTGCTACTTCATAACTGTAACTTTGCTACTGTTATGAATTGTAATGTAAATATCTGATATACAGGATGGTCTTAGGCGACCCCTGTGAAAGGGTCATCCGATCGCCAAAGGGGTTGCGACCCACAGGTTGAGAACCGCTGCTTTAAAGTGATCTGTGTTATTATCTAACAAAGGGCCATTTAAAGTCAAGCCAGGTGGTGGGAGAGAAAACCTGCACGTTTGCTGTGCCTGCCTTAGCCTGATGGCTTAGTTCTCCAGTCCAGACCAGGTTGCCAACACCTGTTCATGGAAATTGTTGTTGAGGTGGAGCCGAGTAGAGCATGCCAGGGGACTGTCCCTCCTGTTTTGTATCACCCTAGCTGTCCTCATAATGGTGGAGGTTAGAGGGGTGGCAGTTTCTAGGTGCCTCACAGTTTGAGACTGTTTTCTGAGTTGTTTTGGTGAAGCCACTTTCCTGCAGTGCTGACTGGGTTTCCAAACTAATGAAATTCATTGTTTTGGGTCTGATGTTTAAATACTTTACAGGGGACAATTCTTCCCCATTAGAGAGAGCTAACTTGCCTGGCTTGATCATGTGCCTGTGAGCACTATTACTTTTCTATTGTTATCTGACTGCAGCAATCAACTATATAGACACTGTGTGATAAAAATGCAACCACTTGACACACAGGCTGAATTCCAGCTGCCTGTGAGCTCAGTAAATCTCTTGCTTTATAAACACTTCTATCCTTGATAACATATTGAGGAAAAGGACGAAATAAGAATTACTCTTTGTACTGCACTGAGAGCACAAAGTCATTCAGCTTTCATTGGGCAAAAATGCAATAGTTCCCTAAAGAAAATATGGATTTATATTTCTGGGTTTGATGGAGTAAGACTGAAAATTACCTCTTGCTTCTGTTATTTACATATTTATATATCCTAACAGTAGAGACATAAAGAAACTCTTTTATACGTAAAGAGATTGCCAATTGTACAATGAAAAATACCCTCGATTAATAATACTGATTATAGCTGACACGCATTATCATGATAAAATCATACTTTTCAAACACCAGGTGCCTGAGATGATATGTTAGGCCAGTGATGGCGAACCTATGACACACGTGTCAGAGATGACATGCAAACTCATTTTTTTGGGTTGATTTTTCTTTGTTAAATGGCATTTAAATATATAAAATAAATATCAAAAATATAAGTCTTTGTTTTACTATGGTTGCAAATATCAAACAATTTCTATATGTGACACGGCACCAGAGTTAAGTTAGGGTTTTTCAAAATGCTGACACACTGAGCTCAAAAGGTTCACCATCACTGTGTTGGGCAAAGTACAGAGAATGACATGGACACAATCTGTGCTCACACTGAGAAGGATCTAAAGAATTTCTGGTATTATTTGCATAAAATGTTATCTAGAAAGGAAAATTAAAGGATTTTCATAATATCCTCTAAGGATACTAACACTAGGCCAAGTACTTTATACAATGCAGCGCAGTATAGGATAGAAATGAAGAGGGTGCTGGCTTCCAATTCTTCATCCACCAAGTACCAAGGGTAGTTTGACCTTGGACAGCATTCTCAATCTCTTGGTGTTCTTGGCTGTAAAAGGAGAATAGCAGCAGCTATATTAGAGCAGTGGTTCTCAACCTTCCTAATGCCGCAACCCTTTAATACAGTTCCTCATGTTGTGATGACCCCCAATTTCATTGTTTCAAATTGAACATAATTAAAGCCTAGTGATTAATCACAAAAACAATATGTAATTATATATCTGTTTTCTGATGGTGTTAGGCGACCCCAGTGAAAGGGTCGTTTGACCCCTAAAGGGGTCGCGACCCACAGGTTGAGAACTTCTGTACTGGAGTGTTGTTGCATGACTTAAATTTTAGGTGAGAGCCTGGCCAATAGTTTGGGATCCACAGATGTCAGCTCCTTTTATTAACTACTAGAGGCCCGGTGCATGAAATTCGTGCATGGGTAGGGTCCCTAGGACTGGCTGGTGGTCAGGGTTGATCTGGGGGCAACTGGTGATTGGGGCCCCCACTCACACCCACCTTGGCCTGGCACCACCCACTCACCTGCTCCACCATCCCACTGCGGTCCCGCTCTCGCCGGGACCCATTGGGGCTGTCAGCACCTCCACTGCTGCCTGCTACCAGCGCTGCATCCCCAACACCTGCCATGTTCCATACTGCCCAGATCAGCATACGTCTAACTCCCAGTCGGTCGAACTCCCGCCCATGCGGACAATTTGCATATTAGCTTTTTATTATATAGGAATATTGTTTCATTTGGTCAAAATTGCCCAAGTTTGAAAAGCTGGTGGGAGGAGAAAGGCAAAGAAGAGAAACAGTATTTCATATTTCAAAAATAATAAATTGCCAACTATGTGTTTAGAAAAGTTTTTGGTCTTTATCCCCTGTTTGTTCCTACTATAATTTCTCAAAATATTATTTTTTATCCACCCCAATCTTAAAATGTCAGTTTTCCCCCACAAATGGCCATTTATTTCTTATTGTAGAGTTCAGAACTGCCCAGTCCAAACTGTTCCCTTTGCCCAGTGATGAAAGTAATAAAGCTCTTTTTCTAGCACTTAATCCTTTGACTTATGTTCTGCTCCAAGCAACTCTGCCCATGCCTGACAGACATCTCAACCATGTAATTGTGCTATTAGTGCCAGCTCTTGAGAGATTCTCCAGCGTTGGTTGTTGTTGTTGGTGTGTCATTGCCATTTTTGGCTAACTGTGGTTTTTATATTGTGTTCCATGTTTCTGGCCTCTCTTATTAGTTATTAACTATTTGATGGGAAAGACCTTTTTTATGTCAAAAACATAAAAAACACTCCAGAGTGTTAATAAGTGTTTTGGGAGTAAAGTAAGAATGTCCCATAGAAGTGACCACCAAATATGACATCATTTGAACTAAGGAAGGACATAAAACCTAAGGGGAGTCGTAGCTGGCTTGGCTCAGTGGATAGAGCATCAGCCTGTGGACTGAAAGGTCCCAGGTTTGGTTCTAGTCAAGGGCCAGTGCCCGAGTTGCGTGCTCGATCCCCAGTGGGGGATGTGCAGGAGGAGGCTGATCAATGATTCTCTCTCATCATTGATGTTTCTATCTCTCTCTCCCTCTCCTTTCCTCTCTGAAATCAATAAAAACATATTTAAAAAATTAAAACCTAAAGAGAATTCCATGTATTGTCACACAGGATAAAGAGTTCAAATTTGACTCTATCATTTATTACTTGAGTGATTTTTTACAAATTAGCTAGTTTCTCTGTACCTGAATTTGCTATTCTATAAAACGAGTTAGTGATCATATCTGTTTACTTATTTATTCATTTATTTATTTATTTTAATTTATCTTTATTGTTGGAAGTATTACAGATGTCCCCGTTTTCCCCCCATTAACCCGCTCCACTTGGCACCTGCCTCCCCCCTCCCCAAGGCCTTCACTGCACTATTGTCTGTGTTTGTGTGTTATGCATATATGTGTATAAATTCTTTGGTTAATCTCTGCTCCTTCCCCTTCCCTCAGATTCATCAGTCTGTTCCATGTTTCTATGTCTGTGGATCTTTTGTTCATCA